AATTTTCTCACAATTTTCATATTGTCACCAACACATGTAGTTGACCATGTGCATATTTTCCCCTCACACTGGATGCAACAATGGGTCAATGAGAAGCCTGGGATTTTTGTTCGTAAAGTGAAGTACTCTTGTAGTGAATACTCATATATAATTATTAAATTCGCTACAGTGGAGTTTCACCCGTGATATGGAAAACACTAGTGAAAAACACATCTCTTGCGCGAACATCGGGGTTTTCACTGAGCATTACGCCACTTCTCGTGAAACTACAGCATTTTGCTGGTGCGAGCAATTGTGTATTGGAAAGAAAATATCTCTAGGTGGTTCTTCATCATCATCACATTGAAGTAGTCTTGATGCCTATGGAGCATTAGTTTATTACTTATGGAGTGCCCAGGCATGTGTGTTGCCCATCTGATCAAGCAAGGCGAGTGTCGGCCAGTTAGGCAGGGTCAGATCACAACACCAGCACTCCACCACATACAGGTGAATGACGGCGTATGTGGTGTCTTCCGAGGTTGCTAGATGTGTAGCATTATCACTCTGGGCAGGTGATTTTCACAAACTCCAATTTCTCGTGAAAAAAATTAATAATGTGTTGGTGCCAATATTAAGCGCACCTGCCCTCACCCAGATGTAACTCAAGAATAAATAGTACATCAGAAGATCTGATTACGAACTGTTAGTGTCTGACTACGACACTTCGGTTTACAGGTCACTTGAGATTCGAGTGTGTGGGTTGTATCTCGAGTGCGCAAGTGAAACTTGCACACTCAAACAACATGCGTTAGATACTTGATGTATCGGAGCATGATGCACCCAAAATCCCAGAGATGTGCAAACGGAGCAAGACAGTATAGAGAGAGAGAAAAAAAATTAACAGTTTAACTCGACTGAGTTTTACATTATAGTAGTTGAGGCTCTAGCTTGAGCTGTTTGTTGCACAACTTTGTGCAACGTGGGACAGTGACCGGTACAGGTTTGCTTAAACTACGCTCACAGGTTTCACCTGTGGCTTCCACTGAAAATCCTGAGAAAAATTTGGGAAATTATCGATCGTTTCTGTACACTTCTTCCAAAGTGCTAAAATTGATGAACTCAGCTTTAGAGAGCAAACGTATACTCCAACATCGCTTTCCTCAGTTGAGCTTGACAGTTTCCTCACTAAATATACACGTTAACATACGAAAATGTAGTGTAAAAATATATAGGACTCAATGAGAATTTCTCAAAATTTTCCCCTAGAATTCTCATCTTGTCATCACCAACATGTGTGGTTCACCGTGTGCATAAGTCCCCCCTCCACACACTTTCGCTTTCGTGTGCTATACCTACCAGTAGAGGAAAGCTTGGTGCCGTGTCAGGCTACACAAGACGGCAAGGGTGTTCGGAGTATTGTTGGACGAGGCGTTGAACTCTGCAACGTCGTCATGGACTCATCCTGTTTGCCGGGCATGATCTCTAGACGACATGCTTGTATCGAGATGGCTGGTGAGAGGGAAGTAACTGTGCTTCTCGAGGAAGTGCCGCCACATTTTCGTGTTTTTATTGATGGTGCTGGTGATTTGTCCATCGAGATAACACCATAGCAGAGGAGTGCCTTAGAAGGCAGCAGCCTGATTATACTCGATCGATGTAGACTATGTTCATCATGAGCTTAGCTGAGGGGTTACTTCACCTGAGAGAGACACATTAGAGTTTCACCCGTTCAACGTGAAGTGGCGTAATACTGCATGTAAACTATAAGACGTATGTCTTCGCGACCGACAACACAATTGTTTTTTCCTATGAAATATGTTTTTTCACTAGTGTTTTTCATATCACGGGTGAAACTCCATTGTGTGCTACGGTGAATGGGGACAGCGATCCCCTGTAGCTGTGTCGTCGACGTTCACTTCCACAGATGACGGCCAGTGGTTCATAACAGACCTGATGACCTTAAACGGTGTCGTCGTGAACGGCGTGACCATCGAGCCGGGCAAACGATATTCTGTGACCAGCGGCGATGTAAACGGTGACGTGGTGGTGGCCTCCTGCCAGTGTGAATGTGATTTGCACACAAAATATGATGTTGATCGCTTTTGCAAATATTCAAATTGAAACCGATTAAACCGAGACAACTATTGCTCTGCATTCTTCACAGTGGAAGACTGATTTCAGTTAGAGAGTGAAATTCTGGAAAAATGTGCATAACTGGTCAACTACATGTGTTGGCGAGAATATGTGAATTGGGAATTTTGGGGATTTCTTATTGGTTTCTGTACACTTCTGCCCTAGTTTACGCGTAAACTTCCATGATCAATGCTGCAAAATATGTACTCGCTTTCCTCAGCTGAGCTCGATAGTTTCCTCACTAATCATAGGAGTTCATATACGAATCGAGAAAAAAATACGAAATGTGGACAGAAACTAAGAGAAATCCTCCAAAATTTCCCCAGAGTTTAGGTATTATCACCGACATTTGTGGTTGATCATTTACCACACTGTCCATGATTAGTGAGGAAACTTTTGAGCTCAGCTGGGCGGAGCGAACATATATATTTCAACACTGCTTTCTGATACCAGTTTTCTCCTTGCTAGATAATCGTTTTTGGCCGGCAAATTCGTTCACGAGAATTCGAGTATGAATTCCGCGTCGGGCCCCTGGACAATCAGAGAAACGGGAAATCTCATACTGGTCAACGCTCCGTGGAGAAGCGAGATGAATCGCCTGAACGCGAACGCCCATCAACCACGTCGTCTAGTCGTGGGTTCAGCCAGATTATAAGCTCCTGAGATATGAGGGTTGTATTTTAGAGGCAACAAGTCGCAAACGTACACGGTCTCCGCATAGTCGAAGCATGAGAGCTAAGAAGCCCAAGAGAGCCGCTTCTGCTGCCGACTCTGATGGTGACACGCATAGCGTAGGATTCACAGTCACCGAAAATGAGCTGCTCTCGATAGTGTGGCTCATAGTGCTGTTATCAGAGTGAATTGGAACGGCAACTCGAGTCAATAAGGCAAGAAAACGAACTACTTAAAGAACGACTCCAATCAGTGACGAATACTCCTAGTATTGCTAATGGTTTTGAGCGTCGTAGTAGTGGAAATATGTGTGTGAGGTAAACGCAGTGTTGTTGAGCCCTGCAAGAATCAGCCAACACCGATGGAAAAGGCTAGAGGGAGATTGTAGGTTGTCGATGATCATGATGAACTCTTCAACTCCAACTCGTTTTGTCAGATTCGCTGATTTGGAGTGCGTTATATGCAGAGATCTCATGGTGTCACCAGCAACACTAGAATGTTCGCATTCCTTCTGTTACAAATGGTAACAAGAGCGTCTCCTCGTAGTTCACTCACTGCTCGAAAATACAAGTGGATCAACTATTACTACAGTTACACGGTCAACCACATGTGTTGGTGATGATGTGAAAATTCTGAGGAAATTGTGGTAGATTTTTGTTGGTTCTTGCGCAATTCTTTCGCGAATTTCTGTGGTTGCGGAAATTTCTTAGCTCAGCTGAGGAAAGCGAACATATTTTCCACCACTGTTTGAGACTGTTCATATTTCTCTCTTAGTATTGAGGAATGGCTAACTGGTGGTAACTTCCGTTGCCCTGTTTGCCGTGTTGGCATCACAAGATCTCCGACAAAGACGATACAGTTGCAGCAGGTGGGGGTGCTCTTGAGGTCTATGGCATGGTCCTGTGTGCCAGGTTGTTATGACTACTGTTGAGACACATGGCACAGAGTCTGACCAGGTTGTTAAAGTCTATTCCTAGTTCAGAGTAGGGTTGTGTGTAATCAGGCCGAATATGATGATCGCATGAAGGAGCATAAGGCTTGGGAGAGGAAGCAGGAGACCGACCGTGCCAAGTTGGAGGACACTATAGGTTCAGCTTCACATAAAGGGCAGCAGTTCTTCGACATTGCACTACCATGGAATTCCGAGGACAAGGCGAGGTTTCAGGCAGGTGGGTCAAAGATAGATTGAATCACTCATCCGAAAGAATCATCCGCGAACCTAGAGTGTTTTCGGGAGGAACTCGTGTTAAATTTTCCGGGAACACGTTCTTGGAACAGTTCCCCTTGTCAATATCATCACATTAGGAACATTGTTATGAAACCCTGGGGGGCGTTATCTCTCAAAGCTAGATGGGTCACTGCTCCTCCGTGCAGTATGACGTGGTTACACAGGTATCCGTCATTATCGTAGTGATGCTAGAGAGCTGTACTGTGCGATAACTGGTCTGACCAAAGCATGGGTAAGAAGAGATGATGATATTGATTATGCCTTGTGGTGAATGTTGGTAGATACAACGGTCTAGTCGAGACAGTCTCGATGTGGCTATGAAGAATTTGAAGATTGGTACCATTGAGGCAGCAAGTGCAGAGGACTCGTCTCAAGTGTGTTATGCCCCGGATGATGTTATGAGACGACGACTTTTACTATTTACCCGCTATTGTTAGCCTCGTTATGAGTTTACTACCACTCCATCACCAAAACATGTCCCGAACTGAAGCTTTCCACTGCTATACCGAAGAATTGTGTCAATCTGTGCGGCTTCGACAATTCGAGGTGTGTCAAGTAGGCCTCACTAGTGAACCAACAAAGAAATTATCAGTTCGCTTGCCTTGGAGAGGTTTCAGAATTGCGTTCGCCGACCAAATCGAGTGGTAAGACTGATATTTTGTATGCGAATTCGGTGTAATTATTAGGAAACTCTCAAGAGGGCCAAGCATCAGCGAAATGGCTATGAAAACACGCGTTGATGCATGTGGATGGCGTGGTGTTTCGATCGATCGATTTCTACTCGGTGTTTTGAGTATCTCCAATTTGGTGCTGTGAGGTGATACGGTTTACAGACATATTTTCACTCGCACTCGTCGTTCTCTGTGACTGCAGGATGATTCCTCGCCATTATTTTGCGATTTCCCTGTCGAGTCGAAACTATCGCGCTCGCCATAATACTCAGCGCAGTCTTCGTTGCGTAGTGGAGCCTCCTTCAACCCAAGGGTGTCGCAGTTGCTCTTTCGCTCTTGGGTGGTTTGAATGAGCGGACCTAAAAATATCTACATATGAGATAACGCTACTCATTCCTCGTAAGCTTTCTCCCATGAGCCACGCTTCTGGGACCTTCCTGGCTCACACGAGTGTTGTACTCGCAAGCCAACTACAGCGATTATTGGGAGACTATGTGCAATGATGAAGTCATGATTAGTGATGAGTTTATTGTTCAGCTGTTTCGTATTGATAATGACGATCCTTGGCTACACTCTGAGAGAAGTTCTCATCATAGCAGCATGCTTTGGTGCAAGTGTCTCAATGATGAACTCTGTGAAATACATACAGACTAGCCTTGACTACCCCTACCCTCTCTTTATCAGTGCCATGCACATGCTGTGGTCGTTCGGAGCTTGTGGCTTCTACTTGAGGCACGAGATGGGTATTTTGCAGCGTTACTCCCCTACACAGTATCTGCAACAAATTGTACCAATCTCGGTGTTCTCAAGCGCCAGCATCGCGTGTGGCAATCTAGCTTTGAAATATATTTATCCATCTTTCAACGAGTTATTACAGCAAACTAGCGCTGCTGTGACAGTTGTGGTAGGAGTTTTTATTTTCGGCAAGCGATATAATTTTGCTACTTATTTATCGATGTTGCCAGTTTGTGGTGGAGCGCTATTGTGCGGCCACGGTGAAGTCAACTTTGTTCTCCTAGGAGCTCTTTCTGCGATTGGTAGCGTCTTCTTTAGGGCATTGAAAAATACTATGCAAGGTGACCTCTTGAACGGATCGCTGTCCTCTCTTGAGCTGTTGTTCGTCCTTGCCCCTGCCAACTTGGTATTTTTCCTCATCGGCTCTCTCGCTGCTGAGGGGATCAGCCCTGTATGGGAGGCGGCCAGTAGTCCATCGATAATGTTGGGCTTGATAATATCATCATTCTTGGCATGTGCTTTTAACATTCTTACTTTTATGATGCTGAAACTACTGTCACCAGTAGGAGCCATGGTCGTACACTCTATGAAGACTCCTGGTATGCTCATAACGTCATGGGCGCTTTTTGGCAATCCGGTGGAGCCGACTCAAATTGTAGGTTTTGTTATTATCACTGCAGGCGTGTACTACTACCGGGTTAATGGTGGTGAAATTACTCCCGAGACGGTGTCGGCAGAGGTGGTTGGCCTTGACGCTAAAGTTGGGGAGAATTCTTCGGTGGACGATGATGAAGAAACATTCCCGGGAGATGATTCTAGCGGCTCTGGGGATCTCGAGATGGGAGATCTACGCTCGGAAATTGCTCTTGAATGAACTATTTTTTTTATTTCCTGCGATCGTATAAGTAGACCTATTTGTTGTTTGTGGCCGCAAGTTGGTATTGTGATTATGTTTTTTATGGACAGCGCTGGCTGTTTTGTTGACTCAATGGTGTCAATATAAGGGAGATGTACTTATGATGTTCATCAACTCGGGAGCTCCTGCAATGTCACGGAATGATGGTATTAGAGAGAGAAAGCGGTTGGTGAGAGGCGCCTGTCGACTTGACGAGAGCCTTGGAGTGAGCAATATGATAGCAAGAAGAATTACAATACTTGAGTTTATATACTATCTTGGAAGGTTTGCGATCTGGAGTATTGTTGCTAGTAGGGGAAGGGTCCTATCGGAGATCTATTATGTGGTTGAGGTCACTAGTTTAGTGGAGAACGCAGTCCCATAGGTTGATGGAGTCGCCAACTTCGCGATGACGGTCGAGTAGGGAGATCAATTCCGCGGATAAAGATATCATTTTTGGGTTGTAGTTTCACCACGAGTAGGGTTTCACGATTACTTTGTACATTGGCAGTTTGATCATGCTTACATACCTTATTGATGAACTCTGGTAAGATTCGTCTTCGCTTGCCGCAAGTCTTCCGACCAGCCAAGCCATGGTGTGCCTTAGCTCCGCGGTTCGATGGGCTCGTGCGTGCTTTGGGAATGTCCGAGAAGGAGGATGCGGTCCGTCTTCTGGCAGCGGAAGGAGTCTTTGGTTCAGCACCACATACGATAGGAGTCGCGGCGACTAGCGGTACTGTGTATCTTGGAAAGGACATACCCAACGTAGATCGACTCCTCAAGGGCTGCTAGTTGACTTTAATATTGACTTCAGGTGGGCATGGGCCCTCTGCAGAGTCTCGTTGCGAATCTTATGAATCACGGAGAGATAGGGCTAAGTGCATACTGCTATGGAAGCGGCCATGAAGACGCTACTTTGAGTGAGATTGATTGTGCGTTGCTCTATGCCCTGGGTGAACGGCCGAGTCGAATTGCATTGGGAGACGGTACGAATCTCGAGCCCCAACGTGGTAAGTAGTTCCAAGAAGCTCACGCGTAGGGTAGCCATCAGTTATTTCGGTGCCTCTTCCGAAAGGACGCGAGAGACTACTGAAGCACTACATAGGAAAAGGAGCGGAAGTGTTCGACGTTGTCTGTTCGCAGCTCATGGATCATGCATTTGTGATATCATCATGCTCAGCGGCTAAGTCGTATTTTTGGAGTATTGAGTCAGGTTTCCAGTCAGCTCGCATTCAACGGTGGAGGGGGGTGTGCTCTTAAATTGACTTCTGGCGAGATTATTAGAGCATCGGGGATCGTCTTGAGAGGTGGGTTCTTCATCCACTCCATCAGTACACCTTCATCACACTATTGGGAGCTCGTCTTGGATCGTAAGTATGTTCAGGATCTGACTCCCCCGTCATCTCCTCTGCCCAGGCAGCTATCGTGGCACTCCACGCGAACGGGTTGGTCAAGAGTGGCAATGTCGTTGTTGAAGCAGCAGTATGTATTGGTGAAGATGAACAAGCTGGGCAAGCGTCAGTAGACCTCATCCGTTCGTGGTGGCCTCACACTGTTCTCCACATTGAAAAGGCAGTGAATTGTGCACCGTTGAATCCACAGCCACGCGCATGATAGTTTCCGATCAGAGTCGTTGGAATTGCGTTCAATGTGAGAGAGGTGGCACCTTTGAAGGGGTTGAAATGTATCCCGCTCGAACCTTGAGAGGCTTCGTCAAACCTGCGCGGCGTTCTCTGGGGCCGGTTAGAGTTGTCTCCGCATTTACATTCGATACTTCGACTGATGGCGGAATTTGAAGATGGATCGCGCCTTTTGCAGTTGTGAGGTGATGGTTGGAAGATTATATCGTAGCCCAAGCGGAAGGAATTATAATGTTTCGTCGTCAGTTTGGCCGAGTGGTCTAAGGCGCCAGACTCAAGTTCTGGTGGAGAAATCCGCGTGGGTTCGAACCCCACAGCTGACATTGTTCTTTGTTCACCTATCGTCTGTTTCCAACTTTCTATCAGGAGTTACACCAACGAGAACTCAACGATTGGATAACGAGCGGGATCTCCAACACTTTCTCGAACACGCTTCACTCGGAACACCAGGCCCGGGCGCCTATTTCATGCTATGATGTGAGACGTAGATGACTCCCCCGCAGAATGTTCATACCCCGTGAGCATAGATAGGTTCATGGGGCTTGAGCAGATGCGGATTACCGTCATTGCAGTGATTGAGCGTCCTGTACATGCTCCGCTGATTCATCGACTTTTGTTCTTGCCGGACTCAGTCGAATCAATTCTGTGACTCAGGGACAATTGATTCAACTGTCTCCTTCACAAATGACATGTTCGCTTTCGCGGTGGGAGTCCCGGTGAGGTTCGGGGAAGTGAATGTTCGTTTATGCTGAGAACTAAAGATTTTTTGAATATATTTAACTCCTAGTATCCATGAACAATGTCGCAAGCTCGGCTGAAACGGTAGCAGGGGTTACGCGCGACATTGCTAGAGTTCAACCAGGGACAAGAGCGCGTGAACTCCACAGCACCGTCCTGGCTACGAGGGATGGGCCTTGGCACCCAAACATATAGAATTTCTGAAAGGGAGATAGATGAAGTACGACTGCTGGTGTACTCGTAAGCCTCCCTCTCTGTTTTGAACATATTTAAACACAGTTGACGTGTTAGTGAGAGGCGACATGCCTAGGCGGTATCGTATTGGTGAACTCACGTCATCCCTCAGATCTTTGAGATGCTGGACACCGATCAAGATGGGTTCATATCTTCTTCAGAGGTAAACCTCTATTCTTCTCGTGTCGAAGTGCTCTTGCACTTAGTGCATACCCGTGCTAGACTCGCGGCGATGCCTCGGCCTTTCTACCGCAGTCTTCTCATTACATGCGTTCAGTCTGATCGTTGCCTGAGTTTTCCGTAGAAGTGGGTGTAGCTACAGTGTGCAGGTCAGAGAGCTGATCCGCATGATCGGCCTGCAGGAGGACGAGTCGGAGGTCCATAGTTTTCTCGAAGAGGTTGATGAAATGGGTGGTATGAACCGTGCTCTTTACAAGTCCCTCATGAACAGAAGAATCTCTCTGCACAAGGTTGGCGTTTCCTCCCGAAAAGAACTGGTGAGCATTCGGAGTTTGTTCTATGTCAGGAGGCTTCAATACAAGCGTTTTTTTCCGATACCAAATTTAGTTGTTCTCATGAATCTTGGAATTAATGATAATATCTTCCAAACGAAATTTTTCGCCAAAATGAAGAGCATGTTTTATCAGTTGAAATGTTTCCAGCTATTGGGCTCAACAGGAACAGGGCATCTCATAGAAAGTGAGGTTCCAAGAAGAGCCTGTCATCGCCCTCTAGAGATCCCCGTTGTAGGGCGTATAATCGAACAATGTCTTCGAGACAATCGCATCCCGGGGAATCCGACAGATGACCTTGAAGATATCACGGCGGTGGGTGGCGCCGAGATTTGCAATAATGATATGCCTCAAATACTCTCTGGAGGCGCTCAGATTCTCGAAAAACTTCCGTTCGTGAGGCAAGCCGACGGTACCGAAACTTTAGATTTCGAGGCGTAAGGTTCTGCCCATCTTAACGACTTTTAGAAAGCTCATCCACGTCCGTAGATACACTATGAGCTTATTGAACGGGTAAAGGCAACTTCACGCACAGACGGTAGCAATAAGAGCAGCGACATTTTCATGAATAGGACTATCAGATTCACCTGCATGCACATAGCAGCTGGTGAGCTTGTAAATATCTCAGTCGGCTCTATTGTGTTTGATCAAATACCTGGTGTGAATTCCCGGCTTGGGAGCTGAAGCAGAGGCTTTTGTTGACCAGTGATGAGTCCACTCGAGAAAGGCTCAGCTTGAGGATAGTTCGATGGAGAGGCGCGAGTGATAGGTTTCGATGGATCTGGGGTCGGCTTGGCGAGTCAGGCTTGGTTGTCACCCAGCTCCACCACACGACGGGAGTTATGAGGCTGGTCAATAAGCCCAAGCGATGTAGCGTAGCAAGTACGACTGCTGAATCATACATTGCGTGATTCTACCGTCGACATTCCTGTTTACTTACCATATGCACACTTATTCATCATGCGCATTTTCTGAGTACACCCTCTTGAGACTGGCGATTGACCTTCCACAACGAAATCATTCTACCTCGAGTGAAGAAGTATAGATGATTCGTACGAGCATCTCACAATCAGCCAGATAACAAGCATATGTCGTAGTCGGAACTTTTTGGCCGGAAATTTCTAGACTTTACAGTTTTTTTATCGCCAAACTTAACGTAGTCTTAACATAACTGGTCATAAACGCAGTTCGTTTCGGTAATAACAACAACATCATGCACAACTGTGTCTCTAGTCCAAAACCTTGCTCAAACTACCAGAGAGCTGTCAGCTAAAACAAAACAACTCGGGACAACACGCAAAAGAACTTCAAAGTAAGGCCGATTATCTCAAGTCATCGACGAGACGAATATGTTATTGTAGCTTCACAACTGGATCAGTTCCTGTTTGTCCTGGCTTGTAGTCTCCGAAAAATCACTGTCTGCTCTGGACTGACTCGTAAAATCATCAGAACTGAGCATGTTAGAGATCATCTCCATGGGTGGTGGAGGTGAACTCCTGCCTGATGGCCTGAAACACAGATAACTATAAGTAAGCACGTCACGGACTATAATATATTCATAAGTACTCAACGTCAGTTTGGCCGAGTGGTCTAAGGCGCCAGACTCAAGTTCTGGTGGAGAAATCCGCGTGGGTTCGAACCCCACAGCTGACATTTGATAGCCAATTCCGACGTTGAGAGAATACAACATCGAGGTAACTTCTTTGACCTACAGGGATTGTGGTGTCAAATCATTATTTTTGGACTCAGCGTCGCTCGCGTCGCTACACTCAAGTTTTCGAACTTCTTCACGGAGCTCTGCAGCACGCCTACTATACGCTTTGACCTACACATGAGTGGGACCAATGCGTGCTGTAACCTTCACAGATGGAGAGTCCCCACAGAAGACGCGAACTGCGAGGAATCAAGCACGCGGCTCGCACTCGAAACTCTGGACCTGGTCAGGCCGAGGAGACTATCCCCCTACCAGTTGTCTGGTTTTCTTGATTTGTATATCCCGCTTCTTTATTCGTTCTTCGAGTTTCCCGTTCGACTCTTCCGCGAATGCTAACGCTTGCTCTACACGTGCTATGCTACTGAGTCTACTATAGAGAAGATCTTGACGTTGAGTCAGCTGAAACAGTGAACTATGCTACAGTCGCTAACAGGCAGCGATACTTCGTCCGATAGTGCTTGTTGAGTCGCGAGCAGCTTCTTCCCGAGTTGTTTTTCCTCCTTTAATTTTTCTTTCAATGAGTTGAATTTCTGTAACGAGCTTATCCTCTGCTGATCTTTGGTCTAAAGCCGAGACAATCCCGGAACATACTACTGAGAGAGAAATCTACCTCCAAGGCTTCTAGCATGTCGACAAGCACGGCGAACCGCGATCGAAATTTGGCTATATCAGTAGAAGTCACTGGAGGCTCCAAGAGACGAAACAGATGATCGATTGACCCCGCATACATCCCCTTGGATGAACCTGAGTTCACTGGCGAGTGAGCCGATCTCGGGAGCAGCCGACAGTACGATTCCGCACCACCACTGTACCAGCGTGTTCATTTGAGCCAACTCGTGGACGCGACGCCTCCGAGCCTGAGTGATTCAGTTGGTCTTTATCCGTTCGTTCTTTTCACGAGCATTACCGCGAGCTCCAACTGATGGCTCTGACCAACTACTTTCTAGTGTCCTTACTCGACCTACAGCTACAATAGTGTCCGCCTGATAGAAAGGCACATTATCCTCCTCTTATTGAACCACCGTAAACCGCCAATATAACGCCTGATATTTGTCAGGCAACGGGTTCTCACCTCCTTAGAGTCGACGCCAGACTCCACGAGTGTATTCCTATCGTTAGGCATCATTTTACTACACGACGTGCGAATAACTTTCATGACTAAGAACCGCACCAGTCGATCGGAACCCGACATGAAAGTGGACAGAAACGTTTTCGGGCTGCCGTGAATGTTGTACTGCGAATCGTCAATATACCTCATCTCGTTTGCATCTACGCTAACTCCATTTCCCTGCCACTTTCCTTTCGTCGTTTCCGTCAGTTTCTTCATCTTCTGAGTCGGCGTTGGACTTTTGAGAACACGTCCGACTCTCCTCGATACGATAATCCCGCTCAGCTGGCGTCACCAGGCCTTCACTCTCCCACTATCCATCGCTGCAGCTACTGACCTCCTATTAGTGTTCTAGTGTGGCTACTGCGAGAGCGCTCAACATCCACACTTTAGAATCATCATCATCATCATCGAGAGCAATCATGCGGCTCTCAGACGTAACATTGGCGTAATACTCAGTGAAAGAAACCGATATTCGCGGTGATATGCAGTAGTCGTGAAATATTTTTTTCACAACACTAGGGTGAAACTCCATTGTGTATATGTGCAATCCCATTTTTCGAGCATCGCTGCAGTAGTCGTAGTTCCCGGTACCCACGGTACGGTTCTGATTCTTATCGAACACTTTCTACCGTCGTGTACTACGCACGTTAGAAGCTCCTCTTCTTCACTATCGATTCTTTTTATTATTATACCTTAGCGAACGTGGACCAAAGTCGACAGCAAAGATATACCATAATTTCCAACTGGAAGCCGGGTATCGTGGGTACTTTTTGAGACTGATCTATGATGAACCCTTTAGTGCCTACAGTTCATAGGCTAACGACCATCAAGCTCCCTGACAGTCTGCTCTCGACCACGTTCAGAGAAATGTGGTATGTGCGCACCGGACTTTCGCGTGCGAAAATTCATGCGAAGCCATAAGTCAGTCAGTTCGACATGGTGTTCTGCATCATGTGGCATCGCCGACATAATACGGGGCCCTTACTACATTTCTTTCCGTGAATTCTCGAGAGCGGAGAAGTTGTATATATCCATCACCCGATCACCTGTAGCTACCAGACTGGTCTCAACGATCACTTATCGCACCTTATTCGACAGGAGTCTCAGTTGCTTCCTCCCGAGAAAGTTATTTCGGGGCATCCTGATTCGGGAAATATAATGGAAAAATATACACCAAGTTAACCGAGGAGAAAATTTTGAAAATTCCTTGGTGATTATTTTTATTGTTGCGGGTTCGGCAATATAGCGAGGTGACTCCTGAGCTGCTCAGTTGAGGTCATCGAGACCATATTCAGAAACTGCTCCTATGACCAAGTGCAGTAAATGCTACTATGGACGTAGACGCCGAGCCAGCAGCGTGATGAGGCGATGTACATTAGAGAATAACAAATTTCCATCTGAAGACCCCACCCCTAGACGAGTCCGTAGTTGAGTCGGCGAATGACCGACTTCTCCAATTGGTTGTGTTGACGACGCTGAGATGGAGTGTAACGTATCATAATATCGTAGGGCATGGTAGTAGCTGGTAAAAAGGGTGTGTGATCAGACGGGATGATGGTATTGGGTAATAGCAACAGCAATAACACTGGGCAGGAGGAATCACTGCTCGACGGAATCGATTGCCGTGGCGAGCGCTAATTGACTTTGACACTGCTTTATTTTTCCCTTGTTGGCTTATTACTCCTTCTTATCGCAACCTACTAAGTATTTCCTTAAAGTCACATCGAGTAGAACTTATTTTTATTTCAATAACTACACTTGATAACAACAAGAACATAACGAATATGTCCCAACAACAGTATCAACCACAATTGCTTCATAACTCCTTGCCGAATCTCAGTGATAATGAACCAAACGAGAGTGAATGTTTGCATGTGGGAAGAACATGGTTGGTGAGAATATGAAAATTCTAAGGAGGTTTTTGTACACGCTTAGCCGAATTAATATACTTACTCGTAACTAGTGAGCTCAGCCGAGAACAAGGAAAGCTAACATATACTACTTCAACGCTGAGTGCTTGTTAAGAATGAGTGTGATTCAGTGCTTTCAGGATGGTAACCCTGCTGCTGTCCGACCGTTCATTACTAGTAGTAGTTTTTATTACGGCTCACAGGTCTTATATTTAGTCTGCAACCGACGAGGATATGATTGCATACTGATTCCTACAGCCCGAACTAACCCGAATTTAATACCATAAATTGCATATCTTCCAGGGTCAACTACATAGGTTGATGATGTCATGAAAATTCTGAGGAAATTCTCATTTATTCCTAAGCTATCCTACGCAAATTCGTATGTAAAATCCTTTACTCTGTGTGTGAACTCCCGAGCCCAGCTGATGAAACCGAACGTATATTCCAACACTGCTCGCGACAGGCTTGTGGGAGACCCACCGAGAACCACAAATGTTATTCCCGATTGTAGGAGAGCAACAACCACGGAGTTTATATCTGGACCACGGAGTTGATCAGAACTTTTGGTTTGCGCTCATTTGCTGGTTTTCATGGTATGAGGTTTATACTTTTATGGACTTTCGCCCCAGATGCTCGGGGTGATCTTATTACAGTTGTTTTAGGATTATATGAATATAACGTTTATCTTGTCTCATCGCTTCTACCAGTGATATGTAGTTGCCCCCGTTGTAGACGTCATAGGCGGATTGTTATGACTGCGAGTAGGTGGTGATAAGCCGTGACTGAGATGAGTCTGCTTTTTTGCTTATCTGAATCTATGCCTAGGAAATATCTAAATTCCAGAGTTGAGTAATGTCAATCGAAGGGGTTCGTCGGCACTATGTGTATATAGTGTTGGTGCTCGCGCGCAAATAGGAGATCTCAGATAGTTTTCTATGATGAATGAAAATCCCACGAGTCCTTCTCGTCCAGAAACTAATACTGAGATAGTAATAATAAGCATGTCGCTGCTACTGAACGGGTTTCGGTTGACTGACGCTTGCCTCAGCTCCAACAGGGGACGAGTGTCTTCCCCACTGCAGAGAATTCTCAATCGAGAGTAATCCTGAGCACAGTTGACTCAACTGAGTTGAGTCTAAGAATGTCCTATTTACTCGAGTAGATTCTCTATCTAAGGAGGATTCCTATGTCGCTGAGCGAAACCGAACTGAGCAGTTACTGCAACACTTTTGGGAACGTCACGAAGGTTCTGATTTTGAGAGATAAACGCTATGGATTCGTGGAATTTGAGGTAAGCTTAATCTGAAATCATTTATTCGCGTATCGCATTGGTCGGGAAGTGTGGGGGCAACATGCACACGTTCGACTACATGTGTTGATGACAATATGAAAACTTTTGGGAGTTGTTGTTGCTTTCTTTACACATCTACCCAGATTGAATTGTAAATTCTCATAATATAGCTTTGGAAACTTCTGAGCTCAGCCGAGTATCTCTCCAACTTTGCGCTGCTCAGTCCAACGATCAAGCGTTGGCGTGCCTGCAATATACTTCCGACTATCCCTTGCATATTTCTGGACAGCGGCTCATGTTTGAGATGTCCAAATGTGGAAATATAACAGGGCGAACGGTAGTAGTAGTAGTAGTAGTAGTAGTAGTAGTAGTAGTAGTAAAAGTAGTAGTAGTTATGTATTACGGCCATTTACCGTAGTATAGCCACTGGCTGTTATTCCCGCTTTGCAACCTCAACCCCCACTCCGTTTCCTTGAGGTTGAAGGTGTCACCTTGGTGTTCTCCGTATTGGGAGTGAAAAGGATCTCGCCTGTGACTCACAGCCTGTGACCCTTGTGACCCCTGACTGTGAAACGCGATACTCTCTTGTGGACTAAGTACGGGCTTATTTAGTAATAACTTATTACTAATAAGGATTACAAAATGGTAGAGTATGATGCCTCATAGATCCTACGAAAAAATTACAAAATGCTTGAGTATGATGCCTCATAGATCCTACGGGCACTTCTTCCGGTCGAAGGAAACTGTGATATCCCGAGCCTCGACAAATATAAGAGAGGCCTCAGGGATGTAAAAGTAAGACGCGAAGTCTTCCTCGGATTCAGGACTTATCACACGAGGGCACTTCAAGTCAACGTCTTTGAGGAATCGCTCGCGCTCGGCCTCGGTGGCTATCGTGACGTTGAAGCGGTTAGTGCCACTGCTATATACTATCAAGGGTTGTGATGTAACTTCAACGTATGATGATGCTTTGCAGCTTAAACGAAGGATCACCCAAGATAACGATGGTGTAATCTTCTGCCAGGTTATCCTGGCACAAGAATCTTGAGTGAGCTTTGTGTAGTAGTCTCCTGAGGGTACTGCGGTAGGTTGGTTGAGTTGAGGAATCACCTCGATTTCTCCGGGTGTTTGTCCAAGCACCAAGAAAGGAGTAGCTATTAAGGAGTGGATGAAGTAGATGTTCATAGTATCACTCAAACGTGGATATAACTGACATGAGAGTATAAGAGTCATGTTGTTGGCATCATCGACAGTTCAATTTTCCCCGATTATTGAACCGAGAGATGAAGAATTGCAAGACTGAGCGTGCGCCGCGCCGCGCCGCACCGCTACATCTGCCCTCTACATCGAGCGGGAACGACAAAGCAAAAATCACTTCATAATGCCTCTTCCCAGAGCACCGTGCTCTGAGCACGGGAGGGGAGGACTATACACCCGGAAAGCAGCTTTCAAGAGTTCTACCGGTTCCAACTCGATGAGAAACGACGAAGCCAATCGACAGCCAAAAACGACAGGCCCTGCAGGGACTTCGTGGAGGGCGAAGCTGCGAAGGCATCCTGAGCTATCGCCACAGACGATGGGAGGCTACAGTAACACCAGGAACGCTTTGCAGGATGCGTGGAGCGCGACAGTGTCACGTGACGTGGCGAGTCGCACACGTCGCCACTGGCGACGTGTGCGACGTGGCCCACGTCGCATACCTGTGCGACGGAGCGAGGAGCTGCACAACCTTCCTTCTTCCCTGTTCAAAGGAGAGCGGGGGGAGGGTCCAAGCAAGGTGGCCAGAGCAAGCCCGGGCCGTCTTATTGGAGCCTCGATTTCAAAGGCTCTTCCAACGAACGACTCGTCGTGCATGCGTGCCCGTCTTGCTTCCCAGGCGCGTCACGTGACGCGCCCCCACCTGTTACCTAGTACCTAGTCAACCAGTGCAGGTGCCCTAGTAACACCCGCACTGGTTGATTCAACAATACTTGGGATAGCCATAATAGGTAATAAGGCTTCTTATCTAATCCATTTCAGCCTGAGGGCTGCGAGCCGAAGCCCTCCTGAGCCGTTTCATTCAACGAGTAATGGGCGAGAGAGACTCGTGCATACGCGCGCGAACACCATCACAGACACGAAAGAAATTTCACGTCTCCCGATGAGTTCAGGAAGCTCGTTGTCGAGCATTACTAGCACAGACCAAGAACATGCGGGGATTGTTGAGGGAGACGTAGAGAACTAACGATAGATGGCCGGGCCGCAATTGACGAACAGGAGTCCTGTTACAGGACAGATCGGTATGGACTGATATATGAGAAAAGGGAACCTTGAGACTATAGCTAACTCGTGATGATCGATCAACATAAGATGTACGCATCCTAGTGGAACCCTGTCGCTACGCTCCGGGAGTCGTTACGCTCCAAGGACAGATGGGAAGGTATGAGAATGGATAAAGTAATAATATACTTGAGGCGCAGATTTTGAACGATGATAGAAGTAAGATGTTCGATGCTCCGAGAACTGGGCGCAATAGAGACAAGCATGACACACCAACGTTTCGCCACAACATAAACAACTTTGGCATGCTGTTATGCAGTTGTGAGGGATCAGTCGAGATCATGAGCTCGTTTTCTTCTCTCAAGCCGCATGGATGTACGCCGTACACTGTACGATGAGGAGGAGATCTGGATCGAAATTGGACCTGGAAGTAAACGGGTCAAGTTAGCGTTATGAATTCCGAGCATAGATGTTAGGATTTAATACCTGCGGTAAGGGGGGGGGGTCAAATCGACCATCAAATCTTCCATAGTAGGATCCGATATTCTCGATGGTGCCGAATTGCCGAATAGTAGTCTACACGACAGGTTCCACGTTGTAGAATGAATAGAAATGGTATGCTCGCAGGGAAAAAGAAAATTGGGCGAATTAGGTATCGAGAATTTAATAGAGTGAAGTTCCAGGCTTGCATGGGGCAAATTCAAGCATCAAGCAAGCGTAACAACTTGCTACTAACAAGTATCGCTCGTGCGTGCATGGCGCACGCCATTGTGATCGACCCGAACCAGAAAGTGGTGCAACCGGTCGAGACTGGAGTGACAGCAGTCTGGCTGTCCAGGAGCCTCTCGAGCCGGTTCCAGCCTGGAATTTTTCTTTCGGTGTACAGAGATCTTCATTCGTTCACGTGTAGATGTTGAAATTTCCAATCAAATTGCTATCAATCTTGAATTTGAGCTGGAGTTGACTGATTATCCGGTCTTCATCTCTCGTCATCTTTGCATTCTTCGTTATGATCTACTGACCCGGGCTCAGTGATCAGCTTGATATGTCACAGATATTAGATTGCCGGCCTTCTAGCTTGGGTAAGATCCTCTTCGAAGGAACCTTCTGAGACACGTCTTTGAGCGTTGACTCGGGAGGTAACTTCTCATGTACCCGCAACGCACTGTACAAGGTCACTTTGGCGTTACTCAAGCTCACCATCGTTTTGGTTCAGCGAGGATTTTAATTGGTCAAGCCGAACTTGCTTGCTTGGCTAGTAGTAGTAGTAGTAGTAGCTGTATTATGCCATGGTCGAGTCCTTACTTTTAGTATCCGGAGATCTGTAATCCAAGTCCAGTACTCCTCTTCACTGTCAGCAACATAGTCTATCCGGTAAATATCACCATGATATCTCAAGTAAGGCGCCGTACAGAGCTGTCACCAAAACTGACACTGATCACTTGGGAATCTAGCTAGTGGGTATGTGAGGTCAAAGTCCCACGCCTACTACGACAACACCCTCTAGTAGTCAGACTCGCACCGATGCATATTAGCTCACAAGGGAGCAGTTTTTAGTCTTTGCCCGTTTAAGGAATGTTGTCCATACGGCCACACGAGACCTCCTTGCATTGAGTGAGGACTTAAATCAGATAATGGCGCGCTATGGCCGCAACTCGATGCTAAGAGTAATAGTATTTCACCGAGGTACGGTAATGCACGCCCTAGTTGAAACTAAGAGTCAAGAAATTGCAGGTATTAATCGTCGGAGAATTTTGTGGCAATTCGTGTTTGCATTAGATCAGGTTAAGAGAGAGCTAGACGGGCAGAACATTTTTACTCAGTGCAACACTTTGCGAATTCGCTACTCCTCATTTCGTCAACTCCATGTGAATTATAATAACGAACGCTCGTGGGACTTCACCAATGCTGGACTACCGAGTAGGCGAATGTGATCTATGAGTGATTCACGCATGAGTTCAAATGTCTTATATTGCTAATAGCAATTTGCTATATATATGCTAGTGATATTGGAGTTTCACCCTAGTGATATGAAAAACACTAGTGGGAAATATGTTTCACGACTACTCCATAGCGCAAATATTGGGTTTTTCTCCCGCTTCACATAAAACGAGTGAAACTCCAGCATATGCGATACATGCTAATGGTATTATATGATTATCAACTAACGTGCTGATAGCCCGTGTCGTTAGCGCCAAGCACGCCTTCATTTTCTCAGCTGGTTATCCTAGCAAAAACTATCCACCATTGACAGAGGAAACCCTACGCAAACACATTCGGTCGACTTACTCTCGGCTGGGAATGAAATACTCCCAAAGGCCGATCCGAGAGAGTAAGTTGTGGTTGTTGTTGGACATTCAGTGGGGGGATATGCACAGAGTCGACCACAAATGTTGGTGGTATTCTAAAGATTCTGGGAGGCAATTCCTATTGTTCCCTCTACATTTCTAAAATGTATACTTAGTGAGGTAACTCTTGAGCTCAGCTGAGGAAAACGACTATATTTCCAAACACTGTAGACATGGAGGAGTTCTGCCTTGTCATTTTTATCAGATACGGAAATGCCAATAGTCTTTGTAGTCATCCACGCCGATACACTGCTGTCTTGTAATGATTTGGCCGCACTGTTCGCTGTCTACGGTGATGTCCGAACAGTGAAGGTCCTCCAGGAGCCACGACCATGCGCTATTGTACGACTCATATCGAATCGGGCTATGTCCTTAAACTTGTTCCTGTAACACGTCTACATTGTGTTTGTTTTCACATTGAATTTGTGAATATGAATTCAGGTGCATCTAGCCGACTTTCAGCAGTGTGCGAGAGCAGTACGCTACCTGTCGGGTTTGGAGGTTCATGGCCATCTCCTTGAACTGAGTGTCAATCGCCGAGACAAGATCTTGCCGTCATCAGTGGTGACTGCTTTGGAGACTCTAAGACTTGGAATTGACGGTAGCGGCGTTTCAGCTGTGGTCATTTTGAATTTCATATATGGCTAGGAACACATTTCCCAAAATGTCATCATCACATTAGGAACATTTTCTCATTCTGGACCTTCACCCAAACCTAGATGGGTCATTGCTTATAGATAAAGCGGTGGATGGAGGCAAGGCCAAGATCCTCGTACAAGACTATACTAATCAGGGCTACCTGTATGCGCCAGGGTGGCTAAAATTTCCTTACTTTCTTTCTTTCTTCCCTATTTTTCCTTCGAGTGGAAGGAAAAATAAATTTCTAATTTTCCTTCCGTTTGTAGATAGCGCGCGCCCTCAAGGCGCGCACGCCCAAAGAATCGACTTTTCTCGGAAACGGCTGGATTTGGGTTGTCTAGAACCGCGATTCTGGACTCCAGAATCTGGAGACTGGAAACGGATGACTTTTAATTGACTGACTCGATTAAGCTCAATCTTCTCGTTTCCGGCTAGGTGAAATCCCCTTTTTCCATCCGTTTCTCTGTGTTTATCCCGGCAATGAACGTTGTGTTGCGTTGGGATCCTGGAGTTGTGGCATTTTCCTGCTAGGTTAGGACTCACAGGATGATAACTGAGCATTCCCTTGCCAGTCTTGTTAACGCTCTCTCCTCGCATGGGACGCAAATCAACGAGTGGGTTCTGTCCGTGGCCGTATGTAACCAAGACTCCGGAGGCCTATCACTGTGATATCGGCGGACTACCGTGCTATTTCAAACACAAGCAAGATAACTCCACGCGATTCGAACGACACATGAAGGACTTCCACGTGGATTTATATTTCGGACGTATAAAATAGAGAAGTCCTCGCGATAAAGCGATGAGGAAGCAGAAAAACGGTAATACAATACTACTAGTATTGTGTTGGAGAGGAATTTCCATTTCCACACGATATCACCGTTTTCTGCTCAGGTATTCGCCTCGTCGAATCCGTAACACAGCTTTACAACTATGAGGCTTTACCAAATCTGCATGAGGACGAGGAAGAAGATGAAGTGCAAGGTAGTTCTACCGTAAATTGCACCGAATTTTGCAGTCCGAAACAAGTCATCTGGCTCAGACTGCTCCGCGAGTTCTTCGATACCGTCAGATAACACTATTGAAAGCAGTGTAATAACGCAACGCAAAAACATAACTTGGACAACATCGCGCGGAGTAACAGTGGCGCGCTAACTTAGCGATAGTGCTTAGCGCCGCTAAGCACTATCGATCAAGCGAGCGACACAAATCGGGCGTTCGCTCGTGTGTGCCACGAGACTTCTCAAAGCCTCGACGGAGCGAAATCGCCAGCAGCGCAGAAGACACTGCCTTCCAAACAGGAGCAGTAACATACCGCACACATTGGGAAATCGATCTTTGCATACCGGCGACCTAGATTCAGAATCGTTCTCAGTTGCTGATTGTGATTCCCCGGCACTGGGTCTGCGTATTTCGTCCATCCAGGAGTAAAAACTCAGTAGATGAAGGGTCAATTGTTGCTATCTGATTTTTCATTACAGTACAGACTCTGGCTCGGCCCTGGATTCAAAACCCATATACCACGCGAGGCCTTCTCGAGAAAGGCGGCCGAAGCCGCCTAGAAAAATGAAAGGGTCATTCTTTCCTTCCTAAGTTTCCTATTTTTCCTAAATTCCTGAAAGTAAAGAAATGAAGGAAAGAAAATCTATTTCTCCTTCCGCCAGCCACCCTGGTATGCGCGACATAGTGACAAGGCCAATAGCTTTTGGTGTCCCCCTAGTTGTGTACTTCATCTCTCAAATCTGCCCTCCATGGCTGAGCAAGAGGTAGTCTATGTCGCATTCCTGTCAGTGGGTGTACGGGCCTTCAGGACGTCCATGCGTTCATTACTGGTCTCGGCTTCGAACCACCCGTCAAAGTCGATTTCGTTACGAACTGCGATAAGCGATCAATTGGTGTCGCACTTGTAACGTTCGAATGCCTTCAAGATGCAGTGGAAGTCATTTGCATTGCTCACGGAAGGTCAGTTTTATGATTTTCCCGAGGTTAAATTTCTATCCCAGAAATTGGTTTCAGAATCATGGGGGATCCTCCGAGACGAGTCCGCATTGGATTCGGAGATGAACCAGAGAGGTTCCAGCATTTGATCAGGAAACTCTATGGCCCGGATTGCACTCTTAGGCGAAAAAACGATGGGGAGCCACTTGGGCCTCCAACACTAGCGACTACCCCACAAGCGGAGCCGTGAACTTGTTCTTGTCGAAAACTCCATTATAAAACTCTCGTTACGTTATGTTGCAGTAGATCGTTGTGAATACGAACCCTGCAATTTGTTCCGTGATGCGCTATTTGCGATATAATTGTCAGTTTTTTCATTGATCCTGAACTCGTATTTTTATTGCTGGCATCCAGATTAGCTGCTGATGCTAGTGTCTTTGCGTCACCGCGATAGTGGCAGTATCATATAGTGTAGCGTCTTGGGGCTCAAGTATGGTTCTTCCCAGTGACAACTCAGGATCATTTGAGGGTTCGGAGTCATTCATTAGGAAATGAGGGTGATAATATCTGATACCGATGTCATATGAATCAATAAGTTTGACCGAAAAGAATAATGGGCAATCCGTGAGGCTTCCAAAGCACAAGCAATGAGCAATGGGGCACGCACACACATAGCCTGATCGATTGTGTTCGGGCGACGACGACCTAAGTAGTCGCACGCACGCGAGAGCAGCCTCAGCACAGAGACCTTCCTAAGAGCGGAACGCTGTAGACGTCCCCCAAGGTCGAGTGCTGAAGAGCTGCAAAAAGAAAAAAGATTACGCCTCAAGGTATCCTGCCTCAACCATAGCCGCGCGTGAGGTGTCCTTGAGCATGTTCGTCGGAGTCAGATTGATACGCATGAGTACCGAAGACACCGTACGCAGGAGCGGACTGTCCCGCTGAGCGTTTTCCGGAGTGTCACCAGTGTAAGTGGAACCGTCATGAGATAACCACACCGGGAAAAATTTATTGCCATCATGCGAGTCGTAGATCTGGACCACTAGTGAGC